AGAGCACATCAATGCTTTAGAGCTGCGTGCGGTGAAGACGGCCATCGTCTGGAGGTTAAAGGAACTTGAAGAAGGCGCATGTCGTTTTTTGCATCTGATCGATTCTCTTGTTGTGCTGCGTGCGTTGTCGAGAGGCAGATCGTCGAGCCGCCGTTTGAGAAGAACCTTGTGTAGGATTGGAGCGCTTCAGTTGGCTAGTGGGCTTGTTGGTGTGTGGGCCTACGTGGACACACACCAGAACCCGGCCGATCGGCCGTCGCGGAGACCCTTACATCGGAAATGGGGAAGAAAGCCACGAAAGTGATGGAAGGAAGAAGTCAACAGGAGCGCAAGAAAGTCCGAAGCAAGTTAGGTTCACTCAAAGGGCTCACAGTTCAACCTCGCACAAGAGAACGTTATACAGATTGCTTGAATCGATTCTTTGACAGGTTAGCAGGGGAGGGTTTGGTCCTCCCAAAGCGACAAAACCTCCTGGACGGCCTGGTCAGTGACTACCTGGAGCATCTTTGGGCTACAGGCGAGGGGAAATCGATTGCCAATAACACTTTAGCAGCTCTCCAGGACCGTGATCCATCTCTCAAGCGAAAGCTTCCTGCCAGTTGGCGGTTGTTGAAAGCCTGGACGTCGGTGGAAATTCCAAATCGTGCGCCGCCACTTACCCTTCAGGTTCTGGATGCGCTCTGTGGGTGGTCAATTTTTAATGAATGCCCCATTTTTGGGTTGTCGCTGCGTGTCGCGTTTTTCGGTCTGTTGCGCACAGGAGAACTTTTGAGCCTACGGGCAAAGGATGTGTTCATCCCTGGGCCAAAGGGACCGGCCGTGCTCTCTCTAGGCCTGACTAAGGGAGGCGCACGCCAAGGGGCGGCTGAAAGCGTAACCCTCCATGAGCAATCGCTCCTCCCAGCCTTATGGAAATGGAAGCAGACAAATCCACCAACCGCCTTTTTAACTCTCAAACCTCATGCTTGGCGAGCATTATTTGCTCGAGCCATTGATGCACTGCACCTGACTGATCACCATTTCAGACCCTACAGTTTACGACGTGGTGGGGCGACGTTCCATTTTAACCACCACGGATCGTTCGATACCCTCCTTGTCCAGGGGCGGTGGGCAGCTGCCCGTACCGCTCGTATATATTTGAACGACGGTTTAGCACAGTTAGCAGATCTGTCTCTGTCGAATTCATCCCTTGCTCCTTACTTGAACTTGTATCGCAAGAGCCCAACCCTTGAGCCAGCAGAGCCTTTAAGGCCCTGCAGATCAGGGGGACGTGGAGCCAAGAAGAAGGGCAAGCCGAAAGGTTGAGTTTTTCTTTTTTCGATGCCGCGGGTCGATTTCTCGGGGGTGAGAAATCAATGAAACCACATTGCAAGACTGGAGTGAGTCAGATGGTGGTTTCCCTCTCTTAAAGTATCCGAGCCTGGGGGACATCCGGTTTGGCGGATGTGGCCTCAGGGGATACTGGGGGGCTCTCTGTTCCTGTCGGTTTGGCGAGGGAACAGAGAGTCGGGGCCCCGAGAGGAAATTGTAGGTATGAGTTCTTTGATTTTGTAGACAAACTTTCTGCAACGCGTGGGAAAAGGAAACTGTGGTCGTGTTTGGTTTAATGACCACATGACTAAACACGAAACAGTTGGATGTTCCACGTAGCATTGGGCTCAAACGCCCTCCCTCTGCCACCCTTGAGCCCCGGCTTGAAGCTGTGGAGCCAAGAAGAAGGGCAAGCCGAAAGGTTGAGTTTTTCTTTTTTCGATGCCGCGGGTCGATTTCTCGGGGGTGAGAAATCAATGAAACCACATTGCAAGACTGGAGTGAGTCAGATGGTGGTTTCCCTCTCTTAAAGTATCCGAGCCTGAGGGACATCCGGTTTGGCGGATGTGGCCTCAGGGGATACTGGGGGGCTCTCTGTTCCTGTCGGTTTGGCGAGGGAACAGAGAGTCGGGGCCCCGAGAGGAAATTGTAGGTATGAGTTCTTTGATTTTGTAGACAAACTTTCTGCAACGCGTGGGAAAAGGAAACTGTGGTCGTGTTTATATATCCTCTATGAAATCACAGAGGTCCACCCCTACTATAAAACGTTTCATGGCCCCCCTGACTGGGGGGGTGGGCCCTGGATTTTATAGAGAAAACGGTGTGTTTGAGATGCTTGTATAAATCCTGTGTGATTTTGTGATGGCTGTAAGTCACTAAGAAGATGCAGGAAGGCATGTTAAAATAACTTAATGGACTTCATGGACTCCTTGTAACATCTTTGCTGTTCCTGCCCCTCGCAGGCCACACCCAGTCCTGCGCATGGACACCCAGAGCTGCCTTTGGGCAGCTGCGCGGCTGCGCCGAAGGAGTTTTTGGTCGACACAACGACCAAATCCAGAAATCTCTGAGACGAACTTGCTGAGCTTCTGCTCCATGGGTTTTTGGGTCTAATGATGTTACCCACATTTGACCTGGTGCATCCTGCCTGGTCCATGAAGCCCTCGGGGAAGCCCTTTCCTGTTCCTTGTTGATGTTCCGTTGTCCTCTTCAGCCCATCCGAAACCTTCATCAGACATTGCGGTCAACATCTACCATTAAAAAACATCGAGATTTGAGGGTTTGGCAAAGAGTTTCAGGGTTCACTCGAAACCATACCATCCTGGGTTTGCCCGTGTGTGATCTCCGATCAAGTTTACTTGTGATCATGAAAATCTCTCGCTCAAGGTCGAGTTGGGAGGCATCGGCACTGAAAAAGGCAGCTGCCCTGCGCAACAGAACTTGGGATCAAAGAGAGCAGGCGAGCAGCGGTCATGGAACCATTGAGGATTCCTAAACACAGAATTGGGAAGTGCCATTGGTAGACTAGATTTAAGAAAAGAAACCAGGTTGGGAACACACAGTTATCTTCTCTTTTCAGTTTGGAAATATCTCAATCTGTCCACATGGACCATCGCAAATTCTGTCGTGACCGTTGAAGCGCCGACGCCATTTGCCCACCTTGTCAGAACCATTTGCCCACCTACGAGAGAGGATAACATCATGTCTGTTTAGCAAACGCGGGTTTATCGTGCGATGCTTTTCTTTTGGGTGGCTACCAGCATCATGTCCCGCCTCGATCGATAGACTGATTGACTGATGTATCCGACACGGACATGTTTGCAGGCTGAGTTAGAGGCTTCCAGGCCAGGCCTGTCGGGTGGCTGTCGGGAAGTCTCGCTTCACTTCATACACGGGTAGAATGGGTGTTTATTTTTTCGAACCTCGGAAGCCAAGTAGGTGGCTAAATGGAATTAATAGGGGCTCTGAGGCTCTGATGGTCTTTAGAGTTCGGAGTTAGTTCCATCAGGTCCATCTATTCGGCGGCACCTCTCACAACCGTATTCTGAATGAGTCCGATGAAGTCATCATATCAGTCGGTTTAAGTAGTCGCAGACATCACGGGTGCAGCGCAAGAGGCAGTCTGACAAGGCAGCCTGGCTACCTTGGCCGCAGCAGGCAGGAAGTTCACAGCTGAAACCTATGGTTTTGGACGGATGCTTATATTTGGTGATCTCAATTCTGACAGAAGTGGAACATAGCTGCTGGAAGTGCATGTAATCTGCAATGAGGTTTGTTCCGATGTGTTCCACTTCCTTAAAGTGAAGGTCTATTTGGTCTAGAGTCTATAGGCCATTTAAGAGTACCAGTCACGAACTCACCGTGTCTAAGTAACCTAAAGACATACTGTAGCGACCCAGCACTTTAGGTTGCTCATTGAATTTGGTTTGTTTGAGAGACTATATAATTGACACCCAAAGCCCTCTGGTAGATCGCTTGCTGCGCTTGCTCATGATCTTGGCTGCTCATTGTGTCGAGGGCTACTTATCATCGGCACCACAAAATTGGAAGGCGCGCCGTAGTTGTTTTCAATCAAGGTGTTTTTTGTCCAAATGGTGTAATGATCACCAAATAGATTCAATATTGTACAGTAAATCCCTGAGAGAAAAATGCCTTGGACTCATATTGCTTTGGTGCTGACCAAAGAAAACTCACCAGTTTTCAGCGTTCAACCAACCGTTGAACTCGCCTTGATCCAGGAGTATCCTGGTGAAGAGTATCCAACCAATGGGTCGAGCGCCTGGACTCGCTCACGACTGTTGCGAAACCCAACGAGTTTGGACAACTGGAATCTTCTGAGGTGGTACGAAGCTCAACCCAAGGCCGGGCCCACGGCCCGTTGCGTCGAGGGCGGTGCCCGTTTGGACGCAAGGAAGGGTGGATGTGTTTTTGGACGTAGCGAAGTATGGTGTTCTTGATTAGGAACAAGGTTCGCTACTAGGAGCAACTACTAGGAGCAAAGGACGCTACTAGGGGCTCCTGGCCTTACTACTAGTTTTTGTTCGCAGGGATCTTCCACCTGCGACCCACTTTCGCTCCCAAGCGGCCCAGTGCCACCACTGGGCCTGTGGGAACTGAAGACATGCAGAGCAAGGAGCCTGGGATTTACAGTCGTTCATATCTCAGAATCTCGTAATGGTCCCAAGGCTTTCACAAATTCCAGCAATAAAGCATCTCGAGTCCGACAGCAGCTGCAATATGGGAATTGTGCTTGCTGCAAGAGTCAAACTTTGTGTGTATGGAAACCCTCAAGATGTTTTGTTTGGCTCACAGCTTCAAGCTTCGTCAGGAGAGGGACGGTTGCTGTACCATACTCTCCCTGATGGCACAACAGCATGCTCATCAACCTATCATAATCTATCAGCTACAAGTTCCAGCGAGTCCAAGTAGAAATGGTCGAGTTTTGGAGGTCCAAAAGTGGTGAAGCTCAAAGATTCTGAACGACTGTTCTTGCGCAAGTTTTCCAGTTGCTCCCACTACACACTCTACTAACTGTTCTTGCGCATCAACATTATGTGCACATGCACCCCACCTTTTTTAACCTTTTTTAAGAGAACAGTAAGCATTTGTTTGGCTTTGCTTGGCTGTCTATGCAACACAAGGGGTCCGTGGCATTGTCAGCTGTTGCATGACACATGCATTGTCCACCCGTCGAACAATCCTCACAGCTTGGGAAAGAGCTTCGCTGTTCCCGGATGGTGGGCAGCTGCGCTGTAGCGGATGCCAAGGGTCCGATGGTGGCGAATCTGGTGGCTTTGGCTTCCCAGAGGTGGCAGTGTAGAGACACCGTGACGTGGATGCCACCGATGGGGAGGTCAGTGGAATAAGTGGGATGCATGGAATGGAATAGTCTCAAAAGAGATGAAGAACTGAATGAAATAGATTTTGGATCATCCGTTCTAGGTCTAGGTACACTGCTAGATTGGACCTCCAGCCAGGACACCCATTGGATGATCCTGGATCATAATCCAATGTTAGCAAGATGGTCGAAGAGGGAACAAGAAGCTACTAGGAGCAAAGGGCATCGCTGCTAGGAGCAAGGACGCTACTAGGGGCTCCTGGCCTTACTACTAGGAACAAGAAGCTACAATGGTCGAAGAGTGATTTCCGATTCTTCCCGTCCAGTTTCTGCACCAGCTGTCCATGTGTTGTTAACCCTCTGCAAGTCTTATAGAGGCTTGGAGGTCCAATCACCCCAGACATGGCCCAAATCATATTATGCGGCAGCTGCAGACTGTCGGATGATCAATGATAATTCAATGATCATAACATCCCCGGACCGCTGCATGAGCACTCTTGCTCCGTTTTGGTGAGTTTTTGTTGGTCGCTGAGGCCACTTCCAGAGCACGTGAACTTGACGGATTGGCGGGAAGTGGTGTGGGACGCGAGTTTTTGTTGGGATCAGGACTGGACCTTCTTCCAGTGCTGCCGCAACGGCCGCGATCTGGATGTACTGCCCGGGATTCTGCAAGGGCTCGCGAAAGTGCGTGGGCATCCTGATTGCTGGCAGCCTCCAGAGGAGGGGTGAAAATGGACAGAAGAACATGTCAGGAAACTAATAGAGATCAATCTGGCAATGGACCTTTGGCCACAACTGTCCTTTATGAAGAAATCAGTATTTTGGGGGTGTTCAGAGGAGTTTGCTGGAAATACTGTTCAGATTTGCGAGATGTCGCTGACCCTGGCCACAGGAGGGCCCTGTGTATCACGACAACTGCTGCGTTTTGAATGCAAACCTGGACAAAGTCCCGCGCTTTGACCACATGATCTGGCAGATTCGCATGCCGGAAACGGAGCAAATCTTGAATGTGGTGCAAGGGCAAGTCTTAGAAACATGGGAGACTCACCGTGCGAGGCAAAACTTTGTGAGTTATCAGCATATGTTTCGACAAGGTGTCAGCGGAGTTGGTTCTATAGCCAGGAAACTGATTTTGTTTTGCTGCATTTGGCAAAACTTTTTGTGGCCGTGGAAACATCAAGTCACAGGGACCGCTATCTGAGCTTTCCTTGCCATGTTGCCATTGGCTTTCTAGTTTGGTTGAATGTGCTGATGTAGGAGGAAGAAATCCTGCACCGCCTCTAAAAATTACATGGAAGAACCCTACAGTAATGGTAGTCAAACATTTGTTGTCAAGGAAAAATTTTTTTCCTGTTATGGTTTCGAACCGATATATCTTCGCTCAGGAGAGCAGGGGGATCATCCCCCCGGAGGTGGTGCCGAAGGTGGGCTTGCAGGGCAACGGTGAAGGCTTGGTATGGGAAGCGGGTGAATCGGCCTTGGCGCTGGCCGTCACGGAGTTTGGATGGCGAAGCGCCAGACGGATACGGTTTTTGGAGGTGCAGCCCCGCACCTGGGGGCAAGATGGAAGTGGTGGGATGGGAGTTTGCTGTTTGTATTTCTTAAGTACAACTCTAATTGCAGTGGTGGTTGCGTGATTCTGTTGGTTTAGTTGGTGAATCGTTGCTTCTTGTTTTGTTGTTACATGTTTTTCTCCAACAGTCTCTCTGTACACCACTCTCCCTAGTTTGGGACTTTGTGAGAAGCTTCTTGCTCCAGTGCCAGTCGTTTCCACCTTGGCAGCGGGGTGCAGAGCCAGCCTTGCAGCCTTTCATGTTTTGGGGTCCCAAGCGGACGGATCAACGAGCTTGGGGGTCTCTCCCGTTGCAAAGCATGGAAAAAAAACACAAAGAAACTGTTTGGAGTGGATTTCAGCACTGCTGATAGCTTCGCTCCCATTTCCTTTCCTCAGGTGGCTAGTTCAGTGGGTGCGCCTTCCCTGGTGGCCTTGGCCAAAGGCTTCCACGTGTGGAGCAGCGACCTCCGCGATGAGAGTGCGTGGCAGCGCTGGGCTGGTGCACGAGCCTCATCCTTCACGGAGGCACAGCTCAAGCGCTTCCGCACGCCGCGCTTGGACCTGTTGGATGAGAGGCGCGTGGGGAAGCGTGGACGTTCAGAACCTTGTGGGGGGTGATCCCGGAGACGTTCGTTGAAAGTTATATCCAGTTTTCCAGGTGGGAAGCCGCTTTTGGGGCTTCAAGACATGATTTCTTTAGATTCCGATTCTGATTTTTCTAGATTCGCATCAGGTGTTTGGGACATATCTTAATTTTGTATGATAGGACATACACGACATACAAGAATATTAACACCTTACGTCCATTCCCTTTCTCCGACCTTTCGACCCCATCCCAGGAGGATGGAGTCATGTTTGGTTCATACGCCGCTTGACGCCACACCGTCTGCCATGATGCATGATAGAAAGGTACTCTCCTTTGGACTCTGGATAGACCTTTTTCCTCTCTAAACAGAGGATTGCCCACTTCCATGTTTGTTGGCGGAAGGAGACAATTCTTCACATTTGGGTTGTTCTTTAGAACAGACCCCAAACACAGTATAGCAGACCGTCAGTTGCCCAGGTTTGGGAATTTTTCCTGGGATGATTCTATTTGCATCTATTTGCAGTTTTGTGGACTGATCTTGCTCCAGGATCTCGCCTCAGCTAGCAAGGCTTGCAGGGGATCTAGTCATTCAAAAACCTCTCTTTGGATGTGTTGAAATCCAATCCTGGCCTCTCCAGTCCAGGACTTGGCCCCACGGGCTCTTTTTCGACGTGATTTTCTTGGGCAGCCCTTTCTTCATGGTTGGACCCACAAGTGAACAACAAGCAGCCTTCTGTCGAAGCTTCCAACGGCTGCTGGCGCTTCACTTGGCACCACAAGGGCTTGGAATGATGTTTCTCAACCCGGTGAGACTCGAACCTACAGGCCAGATGTTGGATGTCGGGACGCGGGACTGAAGTGATACATCCAGGATGATTTCTGGGTGATGGTTTTCGATATGCTTATCTTCAGTTATGTTCAATCTGTACCTGGGATGATTGAACCCTCAGGCTAATGATTTTTTCTAGTGACTTGAAATGACAAACCATAATTTGTTTGTCAAAGTTTTGCTTGCTGGATGTGCGGGTTGTCATATTTATATATATTATATATATAATCTATATATTATATATATAAAGAGAGAGATGAGAGAGAGAGAGAGCGGGTCTCACAGAATGCTTGACTCCTAACGTCGCCTCCATATGTGCAATGGTCCATCCATGTATAGTGGACTAAAAGTTGTACAACCAAAATCATACAACCTGCCCATCCCTGACAGGGAGTTTGGACCGTGGCAGCCATAGACTAGACATGTTTCAATGTGATTCACATGCTTTGCCATGTGGTATAAGACATATGTCACGCTGGTTCTACGCCATCCCCCTATCATCCCCGCATTCACTATTCACCCTTGAGGGTTAAATGATGACATGTTTTTTTGAATTTCTGGATGTTGGCTTCACCCAGGAGGTAACATCCGCCAGACCTATGCTGATGACTGCTTGAAGCGCAGTTCCTTCGCAGTGATGGTGCACCAGCCGGTGGCGGAAGGCCGCTGGCATTCCAAATGGCTGCAGGAGGAAGCCGTTTTAAGCAACATTCCCGGGTCCTGGACTTTGGGGTTTTGCTTCCAGGTGGCCTAGGTGACCTTCCGAGGTACATGACCTGTGCAGCTTTTGCTCGAACGACAATATAACCACTTGTATAGTAGGACAACACCATCCGACCACCGTAACATTGTGCTACACACACTTGTCACAAGTCTATTGGTGCGTACAGCTTTTTGATCTTGGAACGACAGTGTTGTAACGACATAAAGGCCAACAGCGTGCCAGTACTTCCGCGTGGGCAGGACACCTTGGAGGACTTTGATGCCCCCCTGCACTTGCCCTTGGTCTTTACTCTCCGGCGAAGAAATGCCAGCATCTTCTGAAGCGGTTCTTTGCATGCTCTCACATGGGGCAAAAATGTCCTGGAAGCGCTGAAACGCTCAGCACCAGCAGTTGCCCCAAAGTGAGGGCTTTGCTTTTACCATGTTGTGTCAGTTGGAGGCAGAATTGTTTGCAAACTCCCAATGGATCACAGCAAAGTTTCTGTGGTGCTCCGTCCAAAGCGCAGAATCAATGCCCCGTAAAATGTGATGCAAACGAATTGGGTCAGGGATGTGAGATTGGGCTTCGAAAAGCCTGCAGAGATCTCCAGTGTCAAAAGATCCGCACACAAGCTGTGTATTGCAAGTTGACGGCATGTTCCAAATCACTCTGGTTCAAAGCAAGTGACACTCTAAACAATCCTCTCAAGAGGTTGTTTGCTAGCTTTTGAATAAATTCGGATTGACACAAGCCATGCAGATCTTTGTAAAGACCTTGACCGGCAAGACCATCACCCTGGATGTGGAGGCCAGCGA